AGAGGAAGATAAATGTTGTATGATCTCATTTATATGCAGACTATAAAACCAAACCAAAACAAAACAAAAAACAACCAAGCTCATGAATATAGAAAACAGATTGGAGGTTGCGAGAGGTGGGGGTTGGGGGTTGGAAAAATAGGTAAAGGGAGTCAAAGGTACAAATTTTCAGTTATAAAATAAAAAAGTCATGAGGATGCAATATACAGCATCATATCTATAGTTAATAATAATGTAGTGCATATTTGAAAATGGCTAAGAGAGTAAATCTTAAAAGTTCTTCCCACGAGAAAAAAATTCTATAATTACATATGATGATGGATATTAACTAGATATATTATGGTGATCATTTTGCAATATATACAAATATCAAATTTGTACACCTAAAACTAATATAATGTTTTATGTCAATTATACCTCAATTAAAAAAAAAGACTTTTCTGATGATAATGTGATTTTAAAAAAATTATTAAAATTAATTTCACCTGTTTCTTTTTACTTTTTTAATATGGCTAATAGAACATTTAAAATGACATATATGGTCTACATATAATTTCTATCGATCAGAACTGATTAGAACATGGACTTTTAAATATGGGGATAAGTGGGAATCTTTACTGAAGATCAAAAAAGACAAAGATGACAGAATCTATAGCATTTCAGATTGAGGTCAGGCATGGGGTACATGTCCTGCCAACTGGGGGTTTTAAAATAAAAATGGAAGACTGCTAATATATCTTTCAAAGAAAGAATATCTGGGATGATTTTAAATGTGATTCCGTATTATGACAAAAGGTGAATTAAATGCTTAAAGTCTCCTAAGCACAATAATTTAAAAACTCTGATAACTCTGATACAAATATATACATACAAATGAAAATACATATAAGACATTCACATTATATATGTATCAGCTTTTATTGTATGTTACTAATGTGTTCAAGGACACGAATGCCTTTCTTATTTTTGATATCCTGGATATGATTTAAGAGGGCCATTTGAAGTTATTAATTATAGTCTAACGTTCTACTTGGTGTCATTCACCTTGTGTTTGCACAATTAAAATTGTTTTTCTACTGAGGTGTTGGATTTGCAGGTTGGCTCACACAATGATCCTTCTGGCAGAGCTAGCAAGATGGTGCTGGCTACAAACAATAATTGTCTTAGAGTTCCCTGTATTTGATAACAGTGCTGCATCTCTTTTCCAAGACCTCTTGTCAAGTACACACGTGTGCACATTAGCCATGGTTTATAAAGCAAATACAGTGTTTCTGTGTAGACTGGCTCTAAATTCTACAGACACTATCATCTTTGTGTACATGCAGCTAGGAGGTAGATCTATAGTAACAGCAGAGCACACTTTCACTTTCCTAAAATGGAAAAAGAGTTCTTTATTCTGACTTACAGAATATTCTTTTTCAGTGTCAATATGCATTTTAAATTTCTTTTTTTTTTTAATTTATTTTTTGACAGAAAGAGAGACAGCGAGAGAGGGAACACAAGCAGAGGGAGTGGGAAAGGGAGAAGCAGGCTCGCCGTGGAGCAGGGAGCCCGATGTGGGGCTCGATCCCAGGACCCTGGGATCATGACCCGAGCCGAAGGTAGACGCTTAACGACTGAGCCACCCAGGCGCCCCTGCACTTTAAATTTCAAACATTTGGATCGTACAAAAATACATTTAACCCAAACTATAGAAATCAGGCTTTAGAAGGCAAATAAATACCCCCTTTTCCCTTCCAAGCTTTGAATCAACTGGGAAATAGTGATGAGACATATAAATGAAGCTTAAAATATCAACTTTAATACTGGAAATGTCATTGGGAAAATGGCTATATATCTGTAGAGAAAAGGGCTCACTAACATTTCCTCTTCCAACTAGATCTTGCAACTGTCCACCTGAGGGAAAGTTTGGTTCAGTGAAGATTCACTTAGGCAAAACTGCTGCCTCCCACTAGTCTGGGGAGATGAAAACAGGAGCAAATCCCCAGTATTTTTAATCCTGTAGCAGATTAGCTTCATCAAATCAAGGAATGTAAGCCAATGATGTGGGGTGGGGAAGGGGTGTCTCACATTTGATCTGTTAACTTCTCAAGTATTTTATTGTAAAATACTAGAGATGAAAAAAATGTGGATAAATCTCTACAGAGTCAAAGCAGCACTGGTTTGGGATATGTAAGGTAATACTCAACTACACGTAGTGATGTATAAATTGTAAGGACATCTTCTTAATCCATTAATCTATCAACAGACACTTGGGGTGCTTCCATATCTTGGCTGTTGTAAATAATGCTGCAATAAACACAGGGGTGCATATATCTTTTTGAATTAGTGTTTTTGTTTCCCTTGGGTAAATACCCAGTAGTGGAATTACTGGGTCATATGATATTTCTTTTTTTTTAAATTATTTTATTATGTTATGTTAATCATCATACATTGCAGCATTAGTTTTTGATGTAGTGTTCCATGATTCATTGTTTGCATATATGAATTGTGTAAGACTGTTGAATCATACGATATTTCTATTTTTAATTTTTTGAGGAACCTCCATACTGTTTTTCATAGTAGCTGCACCAATTTACATTCCCAACTGTTAATAAGAGTTCCCCTTTTTCCATATCCTTACTCACATTTGTTGTTTCTTGTCTTTTTTTCTGACTGGTGTGAGGTGATATCTCATTGTGGTTCTGATATGCATTTCCCCAGTAATTCCACTTCTGGGTATTTACCTGAAGAAAACAAAAACACTAATTCAAAAAGATATATGCACTTCTATATTTATTGCAAAAGCTCTAGGATATGGCCAGTCAGCAACTGAGTCAGAGTTCTCGTGTAGCTGTAAGCTAATAACCATTGGTGATTTGCCAAACTAAAGCCTTTGTCCTGAGTAATTCTCAAAGGAAGAATTGCCTGTTGTTAACATATTCTAGATGGTATTTGGAACAAAAGGTAATTACAGTTAAAAGCCATAAGAATACAAAACCTAGAAATAAGTCTTAAAATTACTTGTTTATATAATATAAAGAAAACTGTGTATTAGCTCTCTCCTAGTCTTTTACTGGTTAGGAGAGTCATAACAGATTTCTAACAATATACTTTAATAATCTCTATACTTTATCCAAAAGAGCTCCATGCCCCAAACAAGAAGCTTGATGTATAAAATTCTCATTGTTTCCTGACCCAAATTCTTAATCTAAAACTTGAGATTTCTAAACTATTTTTATCTAGTCTTTATACCCCAAGATGAATATTTGCTTAGGCAGGTCATCTTTTCAACTAGGCTTTCAAATACATTAAAAATACAAATAGGAATCAGATTTCTCTGGTATTTGTTTTAAACCCCTAAGCCACAAATATTTTAATTAATTTATTCTTAACTCATTAATTAATGATAGATGGGAACAAATTCCTGTGAAATAAAAAATGTAGAGGGAAAATTAATTTACTTTTAAAAATATGTTTATGCAATTACAGTCAACATTATAGAAAAAATAATTGAATCACGACAAATGTTGAATTGCTAAGTTATTAGATAAATGTAAGAATTTTTTTAAGTAGGCTCCCCACCAAATGTGGGGCTTAAACTTATACCCTGAGATCAAGAGTAGGATGCTCTACCCACTGAACCACCCAGGCGCCTTTGGCAAGAAATATTTTTAAAATCTGCACTTCTATTTCTCTTGAGAAAGTAGTTTAAAACTATAGTCTATTGAATGAGGCGGCCATCTGCTGACGGAAAAGGGCACTACAGGTACTATTTTGCAGGAACTGAACGTCATATTCTACACAAACCAACTGAACCACAAACATTGCAGTAGCGCTGTCCAACAGAAACATAATAGAAGTCACATATGTAATTTAAAAATTTCTAATCACTACTTTTAAAAAGTAAAATTTTAATATCGCATTTTTATTTAACCCGATATATCAGAAATATTCTTATTTCAGCATATAATCAATACAAAAAGTTTATTTTTTTTTCATATTAAGCCTTCAAAATATAATCCGTATTTTATGGTACATCTCAATTCGGACCAGCCACAGTTCGTGTTCAAGAGCCACGCGTGGTTGTAGCTAGTGGCTCCATACTGGACAGGCAGATATAGAAAACGAAGAGAGAGCTACAGTTACTCTGATGTGCCTTTTACTAAGTTCATTTCTTTTTTTTTTTTTTTTAAGATTTTATTTATGTATTTGACAGAGACACAGCAAGAGAGGGAACACAAGCAGGTGGAGTGGGAGAGGGAGAAGCAGGCTTCCGGACGAGCAGGGAGCCCCATGCGGGGCTCGATCCCAGAACCCTGGGACCATGACCTGAGCCAAAGGAAGACGCTTAACGACTGAGCCACCCAGGCGCCCCAAGTTCATTCATTTCTCACCCCTTCTGCCCACTCTTTTAAAAGTTCCTCTCTTTCCCTCTTTAAGTTCTACTTTATTTTGTAAATATGTTTTGCCTCCTGAATATTTTGGAATACTTAAACGACCCTCAAGAGCCGGCCCAAGAACGGTAAGACCCGAGGAGAGCCCATTTTTCTCCAGAGGTTCGTATGCCAGCGCCGACCTTCGATTCGGCTCGTCGGCGGAAGTCTGCTACATTCCTGGGGATCGGAGCCCAAGCCGGGGATGGGGGCCTGTCCTGGCTCTCCGGTCGCCTTATGACATCACAGCCCCATGACTGAGGTTCAAGTCCAGCGAGGTTCCGGGATTCCAGGACGCAACGGTCGAAGGCTTTCAGTGGGAGACAGCTGGGACTGGAGGAGGCCACACGACTAAGGTCCATGCCACTGTGCCCACAACTCGGTGCTTCCAGTCCGGTCCCATGATCCGGCGAAGGCAGGTGGAAAGATGCGCGCTGGCACGAACACACCCGCGAGCGAGGAGCTCCCCACCACTTCCCAGCAGCACCAGCGGGGTCTTCCGGGTGGACCCCTACCTCTGCTGATTGGTTGGAGATTGCTGCCACGTGACCCAGAAACGGCTTCGGCCGCTGCTTTCCCCGCCTCTGTTGTCCCCCTCCCCACTCCAAGGTCGCGGGAGGCGGAGGGCAGGTTTCCTAGGCAACCGGAGCTGGTAGTGTAAACACACCAGGCCCCGGATTAGAGAGGGTGTCGTGCCCGCTGTTGCAAGACAGGGATTGAGGTCGGAGTGGACTCTGGTCTGTCTCGGATTGCCCTGGAATCCATCATCTTTCTGGGATAAGGTGAGTGTGTGTCACCTTGTGGCCTTTGGGCCTACATCACCTGTCTGCAGGCCCCAGGAGTCTTTGTTCTCCTCTCCTCCCTCTCTGCCCGCCCCTGAGAGGAAGACGGGAGAGAAGCAACGTTGAGGTCAAAGGACCCCCGTAATGGCGCAATGGAGATGATAGTAATAATGAGACAGAGACGTGTCTTTATTGGAGGCCGTCAGGGTGACCAGAGCAAAGGTTAAGAGGGGGAGGAAAGGGAAGGTGGCCCACAGTCATCTGTGCAGCCTTTACTGCACGCGTTAAGGTACAGAACTGAGAAAACCAAGGGCTCCTTGGCCAAATTGGATACTGCTCACCTAGTGCCATAAGGGCGTTTGTTGGGCCCTTCAGTACTAACAGATGGATTCTGATCTCTTTATACCCAAGGGAGGAGACAGTTTGATCATACAGGGCTTCTAGTTTGTAGAAAATAAATTTGATTTTCTCAGGATAATACCCTACCCTCCTGGCAGACAGAAACATGGTGCTTTACACTCTATTTATTATTATACTCTGGTCATGTACAGCAAGTATTTACATATTATATATATTCCAAATTATACCATATAGGACTCTGTAGCATGACAATTAATTCAAACTATTCGACAAATTTTATGGAACACCAAGCAAGTGCCCGGCACAGTGATAGGTTCATTGTCCTTGCCTTCAATGAACATGTAACCTGGTAGGGAGGAAAGACCTGCAAGGCATCACAATACAGTGGGACAGGTACTATATATGGAACATATGCAGGCCTTAACTGGAGTCATAAGGAAGAGAATGATTATAATACTACCGGAGAGAATTAAAATCTTCACAAAGAAGACTCTTGATTTAAATCTTTAAGGATGTATGGAGTATGTCATAAAGTCAAGGGAAAAAAGACATTTTAGGGAAGGAAGACAGCATATGACAAAATATAGAAATACCCCAGCCCATTCAGAGAACTATAGTTGTAGCCAGACTCTGGGTGTTGGGAGTTTGTGGTTGATGAGCTTGACAGGTAGGCAGGAGTCAGAGCATGGATACCACGAATACCTTCCTTAAGTAGCTTAAACAGATCTACGTTTCAGGAGGCTGGCTGTCACAACAGTGTAGAAGAGGGATTGGAGGTTTTAGGACTATAAGGAAGGCATCCAATTAAGGTGAAATGATGAAGGTCTGAACCAAAAAAGGGGCAAACAGAATGGAGAGGAGGGGGGAAATGATAGACATTTAAGAGGTATATGCAGAAGGATTTAATGAGTGAGTGAACATGGAAGAAAGAGTAAAAGAGTGGTTAAGAATAAATCCTGAGTTTCTGATATGGTTGATTACAAAGATGTGCCATTTACCAAGAGAAGGCATACACTCAGAGAAGCAGACTGGCTGGGAAATATGACTTCAGTATTGAACACACTGAATTTGAGATGCCTATGACACATTCAGATATAGCTATCCATGTAGGAAGTTGGTTTTGTTGTATGGAAAACAGGAAGATAAAGATTAGTAATTTTTTACCAAGAAGGAAACAAGTGCTCAGAAAAGTAGATTTGAAATAACAAGTAGAGAGAAGCTAAGGAGAAAAAGGCAAACAAAAAAGAATACTAGAAGAATGGAGTTATCAACATTGTCAAATGCCTTGCCAAGGTCCAGTTAAGCTGAGAGCTGAAACATGTCCAGTGTCTTTGGCAACTAGAAGATTATTGTTGACTTTGGCAAAAGAAGCAGTCATGGCCTGAGGTATCCCCAGTCAGGTTGCAGTGAGTTAAGAACTGAGTGGAGGTAGTGAAGTGTTGCTATAATGAACTCCTCTATCTTGAAGTTTTTCTGTGAAAGTATCTAAAACATTCATTCATAGAATACAGGATAGGAGGACTTTTTTTTAAGAGACAGGAATGATCTAACATTCATATATGGAGAGAAGAGAGGCCTTAGAGAAGAAAAGATGGGAATAAAAGGAGGAGGAAAATTTGACATAACTGTTCTGAAAGAGACTGAAGACAATGGGATCAGTACACACATTTTAGACAAGAGAAAGAATACTTTTACTAAGACAGGAGTCAGGAAGGGAAAGAAATACATTTTTAGGAGGAAAGGGAATTTAAGGAACGAATATCTGATGGTATCGCTGTTCTCTGTTAAGATGGGGACAAGATCATCTGCAGAGGGAGGAGGGGTGGCAGGGAGAACTTGAGAAGAGTGGTAGAAATTTAGAATAGTCCCTATGTCATGAATCCCAGAGCTGTATCTCTAGCCCTACTCTCCCTAGGAGAGGAAGTCGAAGAGGAAAATATAAAATGTCCACTGTTGAAGATCCAGCTGAAGTTAGCGACCATGAATTTTCAGTGACTTCAGCTCTGTGCTGGTTATGTGAAATCATCCAGCAGCACTCCAGAGTGAGGAGGGGAAGGAAGGGATTGAATCAATCCAAGATTTGAGTTTTGGAGGGTGAAAGCTACAGAAGCTCCTGGTGGCTCCTGGTGGCTCCTGGTTCCATGAAGGAACTAGAGAAAAAGACCTGTGGTCTCTTAGATGGTCAGGCCCTGAAAAGAACTTGCCCAAAGTGGAGGAGAATGAATGCAAGTTGGCCAACAGGACACACCTCTTGATGGAATCAGAAGCTTCAGCGGGAAGCCCTGGGCCCACTTGTGACTGGGGGAAGCATAGGAGGCTTGTAAATACCAGGGAGGTTCAGGCTCTTCATAATTCAGATGTAGTTATGCAAATTATAGAATTGAAAGATTTCTAAATTATATTTTGTTTTGCTAATTAACTGTTGAATTAGATATATTTTTTCCTAAATAAGATGAAGTGGGAAGTAAGGTTGGTATCCAAAATATGCATATTTCTCTGTTAAGACAAAGTAGTCTCCTTGAATAAATGGAGAGCTATAACTTGTTCTCAAGAAGACTGAATACTATGAAGACGGAAGTTCTCTCTAAATTAAGCTTTACAATGGAATTTCAAAAACCCAAGTGAATTTTTATTTTTATTTTTTTTTAATTTTTTTTAGATTTTATTTATTTGACAGAAAAAGAGCACAAGCAGGGGAAGTGGCAGGCAGAGGCAGAGGGAGAAGCAGACTCCCTGCTAAGCAGGGAGCCCA